TTAGTTTAAAAAACAAATACGTTTTCGAAACTTTTCAAAAAAAAAAAAAAAAAAAAAAATTCATACATTTGTATAAAGCACAAAAGTATTAAAACCTTAAATGTTAACTCAAGAAAAATTAAAAATAAAAAAATTAACCCTCAATAGCAACAAAAAAAATACCCAAAAGGACCGCTTAGCAGAAAAAGTTCTAATAAAAAATGCCTACAAGCCAAACCTAAACTGCTGCTGCTTCTTAATGTTTAAGGAAACTTAAGTAATTCCACTTAATATTTTCGGCCGGAGGATATATGAATAAGGATATATGTCTGTGTATATAAGCAACAATAAAAATGCCATAATAACAATAATAATAATAATAATAATAACAATGTAGGTTGAGTGCGCTTCCTTGCCAGGTGGAGTGAGGTAAGAAATATTGGCAATTCAGCCGAAACAACAAATAATGCGCAATAATAATTCAAATCTTTTTCGTGTTGGAGTAAATTTCTTGAATAAGAAGAACACTGTGGAAATAATTTCGCAAAAAAAAAAAATAAAAATAAACGAGAAGTACAAATATCAGAACTAAAAAAATTTTAAGTAATTTCAAAAATTACATTTAACGCCACAAAGTATGCCACACAAAGGGTATATGAATATATTTTGTCAATAAATATATGCTCATTTTCAAAATAAAAAATGGCACACAAAATTAAACTGCTTTTTATTTTTGATAATAAAAGAAAATAATTTTTTTTTCTCCCGAAAATATGCAACCTTAAACTATTTTCTAGTCCACGCCATAGACTTTAGTATTTTTCGGAGCATTTTTGTCAATTCTAAAAGAAATTCGAAATTTTAGTCTTTTAATATTTAACTTTTATTTATTATTTGTTCAAAAGATTTTGTATAATTTTGACGTTTACGCTTTATAAATGACAAAAATAGATACGAAAATTTATATATTCTTTTAATATTATTATGAAAATCAATTTTTTATACTTCTTAAGTATTGAGTTGTTATCAAAATATAATAACTGTTTATTATATTACCTTTTAAATTATATTTTTTTTTTAATTTTTTTTTATTTTTTTTTTTGATTATTATTTTTTTTTTTTTTTTTTTTTTTTTTTTTTTTTTTTTTTTTTTTTTTTTT